GGGGAAGATTTTGAAATTCATTCAGCATTCAGGGGGAGGAGAGGTAACATAGTGAAATAATTTAATGTGGGTCAAACATCTTTTGTACGCTAGCCAACACGCCCAATTGGAGGCGAAGACCTTCATCTGAGGTTGGCTATGACGAACAGAAATTCAAAATGAGTGTGTGTTAAGTATCTGTATGACTGTTTGTAAAGAAGGGGCTTCAAATTGTTTCCAGGCTCTTGCAATAGCAAGGTGAGCAGCTATGAAGATGTGGGATGTTACTGTGCGGGTTGTAGTGGGACATTCATCTGGACCAACTCTGAGGAGGGTGAGTTGTGGGGAAGGAGTGCAAGGGAGCCAGTGACTGTGGATATAAATTCAAAAAGTGCAGCCCAAAAGGGTTTGAACATGGTACAAGACCACCAGATATGAGTATATATGGAACCCACAGTCCCACAGTTCCACCAGCAAACGGGTGAGGAAGAGGGAAAGATTTTAGCCAGTCCCTGGGGTGTGTAGTACCACTTATATAACAGTTTCTGTACATATGTAACATATGCATATGGGTGCCCCTTTATTACAGGGATACCCTAATATGAATAAGCTCCCTGCCCACACCCCCACAACCAATGCCCCAGGGCTTGTGGGGAAGAGGACTTGTCCCCATCTGCACGGGGACAAGGTGCTTTTCCATGGGCGACCCTGGAAATGCACCCTCCCAGTGCTGAGGGCATGTGGCCTGGTATCGGAAGGAAGTGGGGTGCTCGCTCATTCCTCCCCTTTCCTGCCCTGCCAGGCCTGTGCTCGGATCAAGGGTTTGGTTGGGAATTTTAGGGGGGACCCCACATTTTGTTCCCCAATTTTTTGGGGTGGGGTTCCTCCTTAAAATTCTTATCAGACCTTAAGGTCCTGGTATGACTTTGAGGGGGAACCCCACACACTTTTTGTTTTGTTTTCTTTTTACATGGGGTCCCTCCTAAAATTCCTACCAGACCTTAAGGGACTGGAATGACTTTTGGGGGGATCCCCATGCTTTTTTTTTGCTTTGCTTTGTTTTTAAATGGGGTCCCTCCTAACATTACTACCAGACCTAAAGGGTCTTGTATTGTTTGGGAGGGGGAACCGTATGGTTTTTTCTTTTTTCTTTTTAAATGTCATTTTTGCAGCAGCGGGTTCTATATATTGTACAGATGAGCCACTTTACAGGCAGTTCAAGGGGACCCCCCAGACACGATATTTAAAGGAATTTTTCATTTTTATTGTTTTACTTTAAGCAATGTTAAAATCACTGCTCCTTAAAAAAAATATATGTTTTACATTGATACATGTGCCCCAGGGCAGTACCTGAATCCCCATACACTTTTTATGGCCAGTAAATTGCATATAAAGCTTCAAAATGGGGACATTTGATTTTTTAAAGTTTTACCCCCATAGACTTGCTCTGAGTTCGAACTCGAACTTTTCCCATATTCTAAAGTTCGAATTCAAACCAAACAGGGGGGTGTTCGGCTCATCACTAATTAGCAGGTGCTAAATACACATATGCCATACGCAATATGCAGTTGATTTACAGTATAAATAGGTTTCATGTTAAGGTGGCTATTTAAGTACAAATTTGAGACAGCTCAGATTATTTTGATAGAATACAGATAAAACCTATTGAGGAAGCTATGTATGAATTTTGCCATCTCCAAAGATATCCTAAGATTAGGGTTTCCACCCATCCCTTATAATATGGGATCATGCCGGATCTCTAGGTAACATGCTATGCCCCTTATTGATTAAATGAGGGAAGTACAGCTGCACCTATAAAACGGAATCATCCCAGATCTCAAGCTAACATGCTACAGTCTCTCGTGATTCAATGAGGAAAGTACAGCTACAGCTGCACCACCTCCTGCTGTCTCCTCAGCCAATGGGTGCTGTGACATGTTACAGTATAATACACAGGGTGTGCTGTCCATTACTCTCACATATTTTTCCTTGACACAATGCACCGTGCACAAAGAATGCCTTAGTTATGGTCTGTGTTTCCAGTAGGATGGATTTAATACTTACATTGTCTGGTCTTGGTGCTGGAGCAGGATGGAGTGGTGCTGAGTGACAGCTCTGAGAGTAGCCTGCGCAGAGTACTGTGTATGGGGTGGACACAGCCCTGGGGCTCAGGTGTGACCCAAGGTGACACCCTGCTCTGGGCACATCATGGGACAATTAAGTCTGTGAAGGTTCTCATTCATCCAGATCATGGTATATCTGTAAAAAATAAGTCAAGGCAACTGGACTTGTATTTTTTCTTGAAGACCTGTGAAACGTTATCAAGAAAAAATACAGCAAGTCCAGTTGCCTTGACTTATTTTTTACAGATATGGGACAATTAAGCTCCTAAAACCCACGTAGGTTAAATGGTAAAGGAAAAACATTTGTGCTCTGCATATTTTATTCCTTATACATGCATTTGGTAGAATGTACAGTGCTCTCATATTTTAGGTTTTGTGGACATGGGTGAACTCCATATCAGTGCAAATGGTTGGAATGGTATGTCCAACAAGCTCTTTTAGTTGTGATGGTCAGGTAGTCACAAACTTTCTGCATTATAGTATACCTCTCTTTGCAGTACTAGACATGTCTTCTGACTTTCACTAATATTTAGTGTTCTGTTGCTATGCTGAGAGGCAGGAGATTCAGATTCACCCTTAGCCTCACTTCTGTATAATGATGTATACCTATTGGCCCAGAGGGAAGGTGACTGAGAGGTAGGACCGGAGGGGTTTCTGAGGACAGACAACTGGACATTGCTGGAGGGATCTCTGAAGGCAGATAGCAGGAAAGAGTTGGAATAAGCTTGGATGCCTGTGACTAGAGGAAGACCTTCATAAAGCTCATTGACTGTTGCTGGTGGAAGGCCCAGATAAAGCCTAGTGGCTATGGCTGGTGAGGGCCTGGATAAAGAATGGGAGCTATGTCTGATGGATCTCCTTTCTCTTTTGGCTAGCTCCTATGATCATGTTTCTGGCTTAGTCAGGGCATTATGAGAACTGCATTGAAGATTTACCCCTCAAGAATGTGACCTTTACAGGAACAAAATCACACTTATCCACGTACATATCAGCAAAGGAATGCACAACTTGACAGGGTATTTGTGCATGAGAAGGCTTTCTTGAATCAAGCATGAATGCAAATCTGAGCAATTTTTTTAATCACATCCAAACTTTTTGCTTTGCGGGTTAGTGAACCACTTTGTATGTGTGATAATGGTCCACCATGCCCTAGTACAGAAACACCCAAATATTTTTTAATTAGTCCAGCAATTTCTTGGACCACTAATAATTTGCAATTGTTTTGGGACCTCCCAAACATGTTTACTCAACAAATCCACATGTTGAGATCCAGGGTCATGCCAAGACATCTTACTACTACTTAAATTAGATTTCCTATTGGGGAGTTTTCCTTTCACTTTCTGTCCATATGACCCCAAGATAAGAAATAAGGAGAAGGGGTGTCAATGGGATGGGAATTTATCAAGAGCAATACACATTTGTTTCTACCATTTCCTCGCTCCAATAAAAAGGTGTTACTGTTGCTGTCCGTGTACCTAAGTATGGAGATATCTCCATTGAGGACACAGACAGAAAAAAAATCTTGACTGAGCTTCTAAAAGAAATACAGCTGAAGTTTGCTTTAAAGAGTTAACACGCAAAAGTGATATTTCAGCTGCTAACAAATGGTGAATTGTTAAATCTCTAAACAGGTATTTCTTAGGGTGACATGTCTGCATTTGAAGTGCACTTTTTTATTCATCAAGCTTTTAAACATGGTGTTAATTTATAATCTATTCCATTATTATTATTATTTATTACAGGCATTTATATAGCACCAACAAATTATGCAGCACTTTACATAGTACACATTCACATCAGTCCCTGCTGCTGCAGGGCTTACAATCTAAGGTCCCTATCTCACATGCATATGTCCGAGGGCCAATTAACCTTCCAGCACTTCTTTGGAGCGTGGGAGGAAGCCATAGTACCCAGAGCAAACCCACAAAAGCACAAGGGGAACAGGCAAACTTCTTGCAAATGGTGACCTGGCCGGGATTTGAACTGGGGATACTCAGCCCAGGCCAATGCTGCAAGGCAGAAGTGCTAACCTCTACACCAATGTGCTGCCCAGTTAATGATTTCACGCATGTTGCTTATTTCTTTAAATAATTTAGCCTAAGAAGGCTTGACTGATATGCAGAATTTTACTTTTCATAGAGTCTACAAGTAACCCTTCATTTATATCTCCATCCACTACTCCTAAGCACCGATTTAGACTAGCCATACACGTGTAGATTTCTCTTGTTCAGCCTGCAGGATGGTTGAGAGGAATCACTCGATTTCCTCATCCTTGCTAACAGGCATGGATGAAGGAATCTCCACTGCCAGCTATTGTATTCACTTCCCCCTACTCACATGAATCAGCCTAAGGGCCCGTTCATACCAGATGCAGTGCGTTCCAGCCCGATTCTGGCCAGAACACACTGCCTCGCATTGCGGTTGGATCACTTTTTTGTGGAGCAGGAGGGGGCGTGGCAGGCCATTGAAGTGAATGGCACCATAACCACGCCCTCAGGCCGCAATGCGATCGGCCGCACGGGATCGCAAAGCACATGCAGTCCCGTACGATCAAAATAGTGCTTGCAACAGTTTGTTTGGACCGGACCACCGGCATAATGTGCCTTGCAATCTCGTGCGGCTGATCGCATTGTGGCTGAAGGGCGTGGCTACGGTACCATTCACTTAAATGGCCCGCCACGTCCTCTCCTGGCCCACAAAAAAGTGAGATGGCTGCAATGTGAGGCAGTGCATTCTGGCCAGAATCGGGCCGGAACGCACTGCATCTGGTGTGAAAGGGCCCTAAATGTGAGCTATGTATGGCAAACTTTATGCCTAATGCCCAGCAGAGAGCATTGACAATGCAAGTATTGAAAACAATTATTCTCATTCTGTCTGGTTTATTGTTTTTCTTTCCAGAAAGTTAGATGCCTTCATCTATGATGCAGCAGTTCTGAATTACATGGCTGGAAGGGATGAGGGTTGCAAGCTTGTAACAATAGGCAGTGGCTATATTTTTGCCACAACAGGTTATGGGATTGCCCTCCAAAAAGGTTCTCGGTGGAAACGGCCTATTGATTTAGCTCTTCTTCAATTTGTTGGAGATGGTAAGTTATGTTTTATTTCACTATTATGCAAATAAACTATATTGTTAAAATAGGTCCTCTTCCTGTTTATGCTAATAAAAGTAAAATGAATGGTTGCTAAGAACATTTAGCTTGGAGGGAATCAGTCACTGTTATCAACATACTGCTATGCATTTTTTACAAATGTTGTACCACATAATAATGTATTCTTTTGAGAAGGCACCTATTTTTTTAAACATTCTACTAAATATGCTAGAGTCAGTTCCTGTGCACAACGTTTCTAAAGTTTAACAGCTATTATAGAGAACTATTTTTGTAGATGATGATTGATCTGGTTTTTCCTGTTTTTATTTAGTAATCAACTTTCCACTATATTTTATCTAGGAGCCTATTAATGTGTGCAAATATCTGAACAGGTTAATTTAGACAAAATGTTTTTGGCCCCTGAATGATTAATTGCACACTACATTACTGGCAAAGACAAAATAATAGCTGGATAAGTAATATTTAGTCATGTTAAGTGTGCTATTCATGACAGCATGGGAACAGTGTAAAATGACCGTGAAGCTGGGTGTGAGGGAATTGAAGGTAGAGATTATGAAAGCTGATCATGGTAGGGAGTGAAGAGGATAGAGGAGCAACAGCGGACCATGGGACACTTGAATAGGCAGAGAATACACATTAGTTGCTGACCAGGAAAGTACTGAAGAGGAGGCAGATTGTGAGCAGACAAGTACTTAATCTGAGCAGAGTTGGGTGTGTAGACCAGATGACTGTAGGTTGCAGGGCCCGGACCAGACACCAGAACACTGGGGTGCCAGTACAGGAGACAGGAATGTAGACAAGACACATGCCGAGGTAGGTAACAGCCAGACCACAGAATACCAATTCAGGAGACAGAAACACAGTTGGTGACACAAGCCAAAGGTGCTAACAGCCGGGCAGAAAGTGACAGAGCAGAAGGCAGAGGTCAGAATCCAATAGGTAGGCCAAGCTCATAACAGTCAGGCAGAGATCCGAAGGCAAGTCAGAAGGCAAGCTAGGTTGTACACGGATAAGCAGGTCAGATAACACGTAATCAGAAACTAGCTGAAGTCCACTCTGCATTCTGCCCATGTCTTGTTTGTCACATTGTTTTTTCAAGTTTGCATATTTATGTGCTTGCATCTGCACGCTAATGCACATCTGCCTGTGATCCTTTACACAGGGCCATAAGCCATAGTTCATGCATGTGCATGTGCTCGAGCCTGTACTGGTCTTCTGGGGTTGAAATGTTGTAAACCTTCCTTGCTGGAACTGAGTCAAAAGCTTTTGCAAAGTCCACATATACTATATCCACAGCCACCCCTTTGGATAGTTTATTGCTTACATCCTCATAAAGAGAGCAGATTTGTTTGACAGCTTTGGTCTTTTGTGAATCCATGATGAGTACTCAAAAAGAAAACAAATATATGTGGTCCTTTATCAAACTCTCAAGTATCTTCCCAACTACAGAAGTCAAGCTCACAGGTCTATAATTACTTGGTAAGGACTTTGATTCCTTTTTAAATATAGACACCACATTGGCCTTGTGATAATCCATTGGTACAAAGCCAAACATTAAGGAGTCTGAAACAATTTGAAACAATAGCTTTGAAATAACAGAGCTCAATTCTTGGAGGACACGTGGTGTAAATCATCTGGTCCAGGTGCTTTGTTCACCTTAATGTTGTCTCTGTCTTCTGGACCACATAATGTTTGAGCCATTGTGGTTCATTTGAACCTGTGCCACAACCATCCCATACTTTGTATACACAGAGCTGAAGAAGTTATGTAAAACATTTGTCTTCTCTTTGTCCCAAGTCACCAACCATGAATCATCTTGAAAGGGGCCCACATGATCAGACCTTATCTTTTTACTATTTATACAAAGTGTTTCTCATTTTTATGTTTTTAAATGCCCTATTCTTATTTCTTATGGGTTTTTTTAACATTGGACATGAGCCACATAGGTTTTATCTGAGCCTTTTAAACGTATTGCCCATAGGAATATATTTTGTAGTGTGTTTGCACACAAATGATTTGAAAAATTCCCCTATCTGTTCTGTGTTCTTTCATGACACTATTCCCTCCAAGTCTAGAGGGATGACTCTAGGCACCTCTGCAAAGTGTGGTCCTAACTCTATCTATACAAGTCTCCAAGTGTGAGCATATTAATGCAGTCGATAAACTGCATGCAGGTGTACCAGGAGGTAGCCTACTGCTCCTTATAAGGTGCAGGGATGCACTGGAGGTCCAGCAACCAAAAATGCACGCTGGGACACCCAGTGCATCCCCACATCCAAAATAGTCAAACTAGAAAACATGGTACCTGCATGAATCTATAACCAGCCTTTCTGGCAGGGCGCACATGGGAAGGCTTACAACAATACAAAACACAAAAAATCCCCAGCTCACCAATGGAGACGTAGGGTATCACCTGCCTGCGTTGCCATGCTATATATGCTGTGTGAAGGGGATTGCTTCTGATATCCGTCATAGATACTGTATCACGGTAGGATTGCCAAGATTAGGTGTATATATTAAGAATCACTAAACTACTTCTCCGGTTACTGCCGACTATTACTAGCGGTCCATGATGACTAAATCCCCAACTCTCCGTTTATGATTGAGAGAGCCGCCGGGGATCTTAGCCTGACCACCGCACTAGAGACACTGTTGGAACCGCAGCTGTGATCCACCTTACACTTCCAAAGCCGGGTCGTGACAGAATCATCGAACCTTAAAAATATGGATCCAGCGGAACTAACCACCTATGTGTTGGCCCTCGCCCAGAAAGTTGAAGCGCTGACACTTACTGTGCAAGCAGTCCGCCATGAAAACCAGACCCTACGCTCCCAGATCCCTGCTACACCGGCCCCCACCAGGGATCCTCCCGAACCCAAGGTCAGCCCTCCAGATGTCTTCACTGGTGACCGACGCAGGTTCAGGGAGTTCATTAACGCCAACAAGTTAATGTTTGAACTCCAACCCAAGGAGGAGGGGGGGAGTTTATTATTATATGTGCTGGGGGGCAGTGTATTAAATGTGTGTGGGGGGCTTGGAAGGGGGGCAATGTGTATTATGTGTGTGTGTGAGGGGGAGTGTATTATTTTATTTGTGCAGGGGGGTGTATTAGTGTGGAGGGGTTGTATTTTTCTGTGTGTATATTAGGCCTCATTCACACCTACAGTATATTTCAGGTGTGATTAGGAATTCCTGTGTCACAAACTTGCATTTTCCTGCAGCTGGAATCCCTAATCTGGCGTTTACATGCAGCAACTGTCATCCATTCAGGTTACTGATCGGGTGACAGCCGCTGCATGTACACGCCTGCATACCGCATGTAATTGTATGTGATATGATTACATGCAGTTACAAAAACAATCACTATCCCTGGATACACAATCGTATAAGCAGGAATAGTGACAGATTCCTAAGTGCATGTAATCCTTTCACATATGATTACATGCAGTGTGCAAGCGTTTACATGCAGCAAATGTCACCCGATCATTAACTTGAATGGGTGACAGTTGCTGCTTGTAACTTGTACAGACATTAACACTTGTACCGTATATAGTAGCGGCCCCCACGGGACTACAAAATGTGTCCAGTGGCCCCGACTAAATTGAGTTTGAGACCCCTGCTGTACGGGCTCCTCAGCAGTCGGCAACCACTTGTATCTTCCTCCGCCCACCCCAGCTGCTATTGGCTAAGAGGGAGAGTGCAGCACTGCCATTGGCTGCTCATGTATTTTAGCAGAGTAGGGACAGAGAAGACGCATCAAGGCTGCTTGGGGCTTTACATGGGAGAAACATCACTGTTCCTCCCCCACCACCCGGAGAGGAAGAAGAGGGCATGACAGAACACATGATCTAGTACATCAAAACTGTAAGTCCCTTTCTATCTTACACCGTTGTCATCCGCACTCTGCGTTACACTGCTGTCATCCGCACTCTGCGTTACACTGCTGTCATCCGCACTCTGCGTTACACTGCTGTCATCCGCACTCTGCGTTACACTGCTGTCATCCGCACTCTGCGTTACACTGCTGTCATCCGCACTCTGCGTTACACTGCTGTCATCCGCACTCTGCGTTACACTGCTGTCATCCGCACTCTGCGTTACACTGCTGTCATCCGCACTCTGCGTTACACTGCTGTCATTCGCACTCTGCGTTACATTGCTGTCATCCGCACTTTGAGTTACATTACTGACCTCAGCACTCTGCGATACATTATCGACCAATGCACTCTGCGTTATAACTGACCTCTGTCCCAATACTAAAAACCGATACCAGCACTTCCATTTTTCAAATTGACTTAGGTGTCTTAGGTCCGGCTGCCTTGCGGCCGCCTTCTGGGGAGCCACGCAATGCCTGCTTACAGCGCTTCTGCCACCCGCACATCTCCCCTTTCTAAGACCCTCCCCACCCCTCCTGACAAGCTCTGCCCAATACATTAGGCCAGAACCCCAGATTAGAGCAGCAGCATAGAGTATGTGGCAAATATATATAGTATTATTCTGCATTGCTCTATGTTTTGCTGGGATTTGTAGTGCTCTATAGCTAGCGGTATTCTGCATTACTGTATAATGTATTGCTGGGATTTGTAGTCCCGTTACAGAGTTTGTTAAACATTTTACAGGAATGTAGCACACAAATCGTCTTTATTTGTTTATTTTTTGGGAAATAATACTTTAACACTCATCCCTGTGAAACTGATCAATTTACCACTCAGCGAGAGAGAAAAGTATACATGGCACCGCAGGTAGAAGGAATATTGGTTACTTTAACAAACTGTAATAGCAAACTTTACCTATGATTCCACTGATTGGCTAATTATGGTGGTCACATGATCAGGAACGACACATATTGGATCTTCTTCCTGATCTTCTCTCCAGAACTCAAGGCTTTAAAGAGCATGCATAGTACACTGTGTTTGAAAACTGGAAACATTTACTACAGTTGCAAACTTTATATATTTCAATGTGATCTTGAGGAT